GAGTCGAGCTGCTGCGCTTGACGCGAATGGTGGCATAAATTTTTCGTGCCTCGAATTTCGCATGGCCGCGCGAGAATAGATCACCGACAGCCATATCACGCTATCAGTTAAATGGAGCCGGGGTGACGAATCCTCACACGGCCCTCCTGAGCGGTGCTCCCATAGGAGCCTGGCGGACCGTCACGGCCTTGTTCGGAGGCTGTATAGCAAACTGCCACATCGAAGTCGCTCCTTGTCAGCCCGTCACAACAGGGCAATGTGGGGGAGCCCTTCACAAAATCAGCAGCGTCGGCAGACAGCGGCCAAGGTCGCTCCTGGTCAGACCGTCACAGCAGGACAGTGCGGGAGAACCCGTCACAAAATCAGCAGCGTCAGCAGCGAGCGGGCATCAGCGAGATTCCATCCAGTTGGCCGGGGACTGCTCGGCTCCGGCTCAGGTACCCGACAGGCGTCACTCTCCATCACGACCAAGCATGCATGCCTCGAAAGTTTGCAAATTGGCGACAAGCGCATTTAGTTTCTGCTTGGGACTTTGGGCCCCCCCCCACCCAAGCACCTTTGAGTTGAATTTGGTGTAAGTTGCGACATGTGATTGACATTGTGACATTGTGACATTGACATGTGACATGCCATTGTGATTTGGTACAAGTTAAGTTGTAAGTTGTCTAATTTTGTTGCAGTTCTTTTCCGACAGATTTCACCTCACGCTTCAATGTCACAGTTTTAGCCTGAAGTGGGCTCAATAAAGAGTCAGTACCGCCCGCTGGTCCCTTCGAGGTAGCATTGTATTCCACTGCGCCGTAGCCGGAGACAGTGCACAGACGTGGGAATACTTGAGCGTCACGGATTTTCCAGGGCTAAAAATGCCTGTCAGCATCACCGTTGTAAGCTCACTCCAGGAAAATACCATTGAAATGAATTTTTATGCACCGAAGCACGTAACATATTTTGCCTTTTGGTACGTGTGCAGCTACAGTGCCCATTTGGATGCATAAATCCCGGTGAAGTGTAAAGTGTGTAAAGTGTAAATCCCGTCATGCACCGCCAATATATCAAGTTACTCATTTGTCTGTCTCTTGGAAGTGCGGGATTTCTCGAACAGACCGAGCACAGATCTTGTTGGAAAATTTCAAACAATTGAAACGACCTTTTTCATTCCCTGAGTGCTGCAACGTGGAATTTCCGATTAACTAAATGGAACGGTGTTCAATTGAATTGTTTATGAGGTACACTGAGCATGGTCCGAAGGTTTCTGATTAAATTATAATCAGATCTGCTCCGCTTCGTTGACTCATGTCTGTCACAAAACAAGCCTATCTAGCATAGGCAGGGCTGCAATTAGAGTGAGAATATATTCCTTTCGCGTTTTGTGCGAGTTGATGATTTGGGAGAATGATTTCGTTTTTATCGCGTTACCCATTCCCGGGCTCTTTCTTTATTACCGTGGGTATGGGTTGAAACCCTGTGTGTAGTGTAGTTTTTAACGTCATTTCAGTGGCTTAAGTTTCACTCACCGAGCCTCTTTTCATATGCCTCTGATTAAACAGATTGCGCAGGTGGTAGTTTCGTCTCGCTGCGGCTGGACTTGGACCGCAGGAATTGTACTCACCTGCGTTTGTAGAATGTTATCGAGGCATCTTGCCCTCCGGCACACAACTATGCTGCTTATGCCCAGCGGTTTCAAGCGCCTTCCGTCGCTGGCATCGATTTTCACGGAGCCTATTTTTCATCTGCAGTCTCTGCCCGCCAAGATGAGTAGGCCTAGGAGTTCAGGCCGGCGTCAGATTGGAGAAACACCAGATTGAGCACACCCACCTACACGAGATTCTGACGTTAAGCAGACATAGGAAATAAATTTGCGTGTATACCAAGGCAAGTCCATTTTTTTCCAAACAGTTTTTGCAATTTGTGTGGGACTCTACCAATAAATCTGAGAAATTCTTGACCCCGCAAGTCACCAACATCAACTGGGTCAATGCAAGCGTCCCGTATGTGACGGCTGCCATGAGCCACCCGGAGAGGGGCAGGGGGAGGCGCAATCCGGTGGGAGGCCTGTACTCGGGCTGCGGGCACACTCGGCCGGCGGGACGCTGCAGTCGGCGGTCGATTCAGTTGCTGCCGCGGCGAACGGCGCTGCCCTGGCGCGTACCCATGGACAGGACAGCCACTACGTCGCCGCTCCACCCCTTTGGCCCGCTTAACGGCCGCTCGGCCGGCCCAGAACGGCCCCGAGCGACGCACTCGGTTGTGGGCTATAAAGTCACCACGACCGGGGAATGAGCGGACTGCCGGCCCTCGGGGGCTGCCGTCTCCCCCTGGCGCCTGAAGCTGCCGACTGCTGCGCTGCCGTCTCCCCTGGCGCCTGAAGCTGCCGACTGCTGCGCTGCCGTCTCCCCCTGGCTGCTGCACTGCTGTCTCACCTGGCATCTGAAGCTGCTGACTGCTGCGCTACCGTCTCCCCCCCCCCCCCCCCCCCCCCGGACGCCTCAAGCTGCCGACTGCTGTGCTGCCGTCTACCACGGGTGCTTGAAGCTGTGGACTGCTGCGCTACCGTCTCCCCGAACGCCTGAAGCTGCCGATTGCTGCGCTACCGTCTCCCCGGAAGCCTGAAGCTGCTGATTGCTGCGCTACCGTCTCACCGGACGCCTGAGGCCGCTGGCTCCTGCACTGTCTCCCCTTGGATTGCGTGCAGCTGCGCTGTCTCCTTGGGGCGCCTGACTCCCAGGAATGAGACGGAGCCTGGCTGCCCGTTGGTCGGTGGGTTTCAGGGAGACCCTACTCCTGGCGCGGCGGGTCAATGCAACTGCTGTGCGACACGAGGCGAAACCACTTCATTGCGAGAGGATCGAGGAGTGTTGATGCAGACGTTGGCTCAGAGGCAAGGTGTTATGTTCAGAAATGCATAGCGGCTGATTCGCCGCTCACCATGATCTATGTCGTAGCTCGCCCCAATCTTCTTGTTGGGTTATTCTTTGTGTTTGCGCGGTGCCGCCATCAATATGAGGGTAGACTGAACAAACTGTAAATTCTGGGCACTTCGGCTAGCCTATCGATCTCCCAAGCATCATTGTTTGGCCAACAATAGTAGATTGCAGGTGGATGCCATAATGATGACCCTCCCCCCTGGGCTAATGAGACACGATATAAATTATTGGCAGGAAAAGAACCGCAATAGCTTGCTAGCAGAAATTTACTGTGGCCAAGGACTGAAGTAAAATGTCTTCCACAGCGCATGCCGTAACTCATTTCCACATCGGGTATCGCAATGGCAAGTAATTCGCAGCTGCATTGAGCGATGCAATTGGTTCCGATTCCTCGCTGTATTCTCCGCAATTATCTGCAAACAGCAAGCGTATGACCCAGTCGCGATGCCCTTGGCTGGGATCCAGCCAAGTGTGTTTACAACTTGAGACGCAAATGAGGTCGAGCTATGCATTCACGAGTCCGTCACGGGAATTGTGTGGAGGACGTGCTGTGATGGCCCGAGGGCACCAGTACACTTCGCAAAACCGTAAACACGGTTCACGGTACCAAACGTATCGTTACTGCGGTTGTACGTTAGCTTGGTGATATCGGTTGTTGGGCTCGACAGAAGCTCATGGTGAACTGACCTCTACAATATTTGTGTGACTGACGTTTTCATTAAAAATTGGTTGAGGCTTTTAAGACATTTTAAAATGTCATACAATTTCATTGTGACGTCAATCGCTTCTGTTGGGCTTTGCATACATACACATACATACACACATACATACATCTGTATATATATATATATATATATATATATATATATATATATATATGTATATATACACCTTTATGTGTGTGTGTGGATAGAAACATAATTTTTGTTTAAATCTTTATTAAAAGTACATGTTTTGATTATTTATAAAACAGAGAAAAATGACTTTGTTTTTAAATCGGGCTTAACGCATGCTATCGTATTTTGATTGCATTTTGGAGTTAAGTCTGTTAAAAATACGCACAGTATGTCTGATCTCGATAAGGTGGTAATCATCACACTAAATGTATCAGATGCACCGATGTTTTGAAAAAGAGTATAATTCCTTGCCAGAGCGGCTAGTGGCTATCAATACGACAGGGGCCTAGCAGAGTATGTTTTCCTGCCACCCAGCTACGTAGTTGACGACTTTGTAAATATATGGCTCAACTTAACCTCCTTACTGGCTTGACTGACAGGCTTATTTCACAAAACAAAAGTTGGTTTTCACCTGCATCGAGTTTTGCCCGTCGGAGCGTGCCTACGTAAATTTTGGTTTCATTTATTCTGACCTTTTCAAGACGAATTTTAAGTAATAGAAATGTTGGTGTCGGACGTTAGTGCAATTCATATCGCTAAAAAATTGAACGCTATCGAATGAGCTCAAAGACCGTAATTCAGCTTAAGAGGTCATTCATTTATATATCTGTTACAGGTAGATCAACAATTATGTTAAAAATAATTCCTTTTAGAACGCAGGAGGCGAGGCGAGGAGAGGCGAGGAGGAGGAGGAGTGACAGGAGTTGGCGAGCACCCCCCCCCTTCCCCCCTCCCATGATCTGGGGAAAACGTGCTGGAATCGTAATCTAGCGTTACTGGGTACGGTCCCATGGCGGGCCTATTGTTTGGCCCGACCGACATAGAAAGGTCGACCAGCCAAGAGGGCAGAGGGCTGCTCTGCCCGGGCGACCTTACTGCGGCAATATTCGGCACGTAAAACCTCCCGCAGTCCCGTCTAGTAAAAGACAGTGGGACCGTATTATCCAATGAAGTCGTTCGACGTGTCTTGGGAGATGATATTCGGTTACCCGCGATGAGCTCTGCTTAGCAAATCTCTGGGCTCAAAGCAACCCATGAGACCAATTAAAAATGATCTAAAGAAATGACTTTAAAGTGTGAGTCTCGTGCGCGGCCGCCGATCTGGTCCCGGCGGGTCGGACGGAGGACACATCCGTTTTGGCTCATATATGACCCTTGTGTGCCATCTGTCACGACCCAGGTGCTGCACGACGCCGGCAGTCACGACTTCATACTGCGCATCCAGGCTGTGAGGACGCGGGATGCTGGCGTCTACGAGTGTCAGGTCAACACCGAACCCAAGCTCTCCTGGCCGGTCACACTCACCGTCCAAGGTAAGGCGCCGCGCTCACTGGGCACGACAAGAAATGACGCGATCTTCCGCACGTTCTAGATGCGTGAAGGTTGTGGTTTTGTGTTGTTTTTGGACGCAGGCGGCAGCTGCTCTTTACGTTCACGTGGACGGCACACCAACGTGCTTAGTCGAAGCATAGGGCGCGCGCCAGTCTGTGAAGCCGGAGTTCGTAATGCTCGCCCGGAAAGAACCGAGGCTGTGGTACCGCGCACGACGCATGAAAACACTATTTCTCAGCGTGCGAGGCTGCTCAGGCGATACAGCACCGGCCGGCGCCGGGCTCTTCGGCCCTGAGCCGCACAAACCTCAGCGCAGTGCGACCGACCGCGGGCCACGCACCTCCTCGGCCGTCGGCACGCGGGCGTCGCGCGCGACGTCTGTTGCCTGTCAGCGGCGCTGTCAGCTCGCCGCGCCAACCATTCGCCACTCGCGCGCGCGCCCGCCGCGCCCACCGTTTATTATTGTCATATGCCAGCCGGGCCGCCTCGGCTCGACGGCGGAGCGCCGCCGGACTGCCCTGCCGCTCGGCTCGAAGGCAGAGCTCAGTCCAGTCCCCACCGCCGCTCGGCTCGAAAGCAGAGCTCAGCCCTCCGCCGCTCGGCTCGAAGGCAGAGCTCAGTCCGGTCCCCTCCGCCGCTCGGCTCGAAGGCGGGGCTCGACTCGGTCCCCCCCGCCGCTCGGCTCGAGGCAGAGCTCAGCCCGGTCCCCTCCGCCGCTCGGCTCGAAGGCAGACCTCAGCCCGGTCCCCTCCGCCGCTCGGCTCGAATGCAGACTGCCGCCGGACTGCCCCGCCGCTCGGCTCGAAGGCAGAGCTCAGCCCGGTTCCCTCCGCCGCTCGGCTTGAAGGCAGAGCTCAGTCCGGTCCCCTCCGCCGCTCGGCTCGAAGGCAGAGCTCAGCCCGGTCCCCTCCGCCGCACGGCTCGAAGGCAGAGCTCAGCCCGGTCCCCTCCGCCGCTCGGTTCGAAGGCAGGGATCAGTCCAATCCCCTCCGCCGCTCGGCTCGAAGGCAGAGCTTAGTCCGGTCCCCTCCGCCGCTCGGTTCGAAGGCAGAGATCAGTCCAGTCCCCTCCGCCGCCCGGCTCGAAGGCAGAGCTCAGTCCGGTCCCCTCCGCCGCTCGGCTCGACGGCGGAGCACCGCCGAACTTCTCCGCCGCTCGGCCCGACGGCGGGGGTCGACTCGGTCTCCTCCGCCGCTCGGGTCGACGGAGGGGCTCGACTTGGTCTCCTCCGCCGCACGGCTCGACGGCAGGCTCGACTCCGTCTCCTCCGCCGCTCGACTCGAAGGCAGTTTTAGCCTGGTTTCCTCCGCTGATCGGCTCAATGGCGGGGCTCAACTTCGTCTCCTGCGCTGCTCGGCTCCATGGCAGAGCTCAGCCTGGTCTCCTCCGCCGCTCGACTCAACGACAGAGTTCAACCCGGTCTCCGCCGCTCGGCTCGGTGGCGATCCGGTTTCCCCCGCTGCTGGGCGCACTGCGTAGCTCTGCCTATGACTCTCTAAGCCGTGCAGGGGCGCTGGCACAGGCATACTGATCGTGATTAGACGTCGATAGAAACCTGCAGCATCGGGCAGCGTAAGTCCGGCCGAGCGGTCAGATCACGTGCCCGGCTAATTTTGGCCTCCACAGTAGAGCTTTCAGTTTCCAAGTCATTTTGTTTGAACTTGCCCGGTTCTCCGCATGTTCAGCTGTACAAGTAACTCTTCGAAGAGCAATGTATTCTGGGTGTTCGGAGCACGACAAAAGACACAAAGTTGGATGGTGTCTTGACGTGATATCTCAAGTTCTCACTGCATGAATTGGATGCATCGTAGGTTCCCGCTGCAATAACATGAATTGGATGCACCGGAAAATGCGTAGCGCCATGCCTCACGTTCTCCCTTATCGCGTATTCAGGCCAGCAAATTCACGTCATTCTCCGCCTATCCCCTGTGTGCGCGTTACTATGCAGGCAATGTGCGTGTATAGGAAATGGATCCGCGCGCTGCACGGCGCGCGGGCGAAACACATCTCGAACGATCTCCCACTGCCGGCAATCCCTCGGGGCATTACTCAGGGGCTGGAGCGTTGTGACGAGTCATTACTGTCCGGGGTGATACATTGGACCGGCGTACTACATTTGCGACGCTGCGATCACGGCGCTCGGTAAAAGACACGGGTGATCCGTATTTATCTGTAAACCACTTTTGCGGGCAGAAAGACGTTTACGTTTACGATATATGCTTTGCTAGATTGGTCTGTGACCTGTATGGGCCTATGCTTGTTTTGGTGATAGTTTTCGCAGAGAACAATAACTGAGCAAAACAGCATTGGCCAGAATTCTTCCCAGTCGGAGAACAGGGCCAATACCGTTTACTTGGTGTCACTGACCATTGACAGCACCAGCTACGACAAACTTGAGAACTCCCAGACGGTTCTCGTAGTGATGGGGTTAACAATTCCTCACCGGCGCGGGTATCCTAGTCGCCGGAATGGATGTGATACAGAGAAGCCATCAGTTTCAGACAACTGAAGGTTAACTGGACTGAACCGAATGAAGCCCGCGACCACTCGAGAGGTTTATGTTGCCCCAGGTTTCTGCAACAACATCCAAACAGCCTCATATGTGCGCGCGCACACACACACACACACACACACACACACACACACACACACACACACACACACACACACACACACACACACACACACACACACACACACACACGCACGCACGCACGCACGCACGCACACACACACACACACACACACACACACACACACACACACACACACACACACACATACACGCGCACGCACGCACACACACACACACACACACACACACACACACACACACACACACACACACACACACACACACGCACGCACGCACGCACGCACGCACGCACGCACGCACGCACGCACGCACGCACGCCATTTTCAATAGCTGTTCATCGATCCATTCGAGACATCCTGATCCTGAGAACAAAAGTTAGATCGGTTCACAGAAGTATGAGATAATCAGCACCAATATTTTTGCTTTCTCAGTTAGAAGTTCGATATTTTTGCTACTTAGTTCTGGATTGTCTTCGTGTTTTTCATGTAATTCATCGACTAGATTAATGTCGCTTATTTGTGAGGAATTTGCTAGCCAAAATAGCACGCCTTCAAAGCTGCTGACTTCTGACGAGATCCAAAAATTCACAGTAGGTCGTGACTCATCCAAGCGAAACACATGACTAAGTCTTGATCTCATTTTGACTGTTCCAACAAAGCGGTAAATCTTTGACGGGAGAGGAGCGCCGTTTTGTTTCGTGCAGGCTTCAGAGTCGTACGGCCGTGATTACGTGCGTCGAATTTTTTGGTTCCCGAGTCTTCAAACAATTTTTGACAAAATGCTTGCCTTGTATGTTATTTATCATGTCACCTGTTATGCCACATATCCCCATTTCGTGTTGTCTAGATGGCAATTATCAGGCCCACCGATTTGCTGAATCATATCCGACCGCTAGGCCCTGGGATACAAGTCACATACGATCTTATTTATAAACCTACAAAACATTGCAATCGCTTGTAAGGAAATGACCTCGCCGGTGACGGACTGAATGGATTGGCCACTGTCCCCTCCCCCACCACAATATAGCAATTTTTGGTACTCAAGGCTCTGAAAATCACACTACCTCCTTCTGCTTGCATGCCAATTCCTTTTTGCGGTGTGTTTCATTTGTGCGCTACAACAAGATTGCCAGGGGCATAAGTCTTATGGGAGTGTAGTTGCGACTTTCAACTATGACAGCACTTTCGCAAACAATACTATGCCAGGTCAGCAGAAAGAAACATCGGAGATGTGGTTACTCTTTCAATATACCACATATATTGAAACTACGCCAACGCCATTTGTATAATCAAAATTGGCGCATTGCTGGAAGAACAACAATTTGAAAACGTTTTTGCTACGCCAATTCCTTTCAATTTACGAGTAATTGAAGCACATCTGGCAGGAGTGAAATTCAAGACGCATTGCGCTTTGAACTGATATAATCATCAATCTTAGCATGTTACTTTTGTACACAACAACCACTACCAACAAATCAGCCGGTTTTAAGCTTGACATGAGATAGGACAGACTTTTCCCTCATGTTCAGTTGCGTTGCCGCATGTGCTGCTAGACAGAAGTTTGCGGTATAGTATGCGTCACTAATGCAACCACCAATCATACGCGGAACTTTGCTTAAAGTTGAGGACACAAACGGATTTTACGGAATGATCGAGATGAGGCATAAGTTTCACAGATGGATTAATTGTTCAGGATATTGTCCCCGTATGGTATGTTCGTGTGTGCGCAAGGTTTCGGCCACTCCATATTCCTGTCGATGTCAGGTGGCACTGAGTCCTGAATGGGACTCCGTGATTTGTTTCGCCTTCAGTCATGTACTCGTCACACCTGAACTGTCGCCTTGGAATTGTTGAAAATCCAACCGGGATGATCTTCTGATTACGAGTCCAGCGTTTTACCAACTGAGCATCCGAGCTTGCGTCCTTCCCGGTTAGCTCAGTTGGCAGAGCACCGCAATCGTAACCGTTTGGGATGCTGGCGATGCCAGCAATGCAAGTTAGGTTGTGATGAGTACATGGATGAAAACCAAGCACTGTCCAGTCCTTCTCGGGACTCAGTTAATACTCCACGACAACCGGAGAATAAGCTGGTCGAAGTGTCGTATGCATACTCGGAGACAAGAACAATAGTGCAGATAATTATTGGATTCGCTAAGAGGTTCTAACGTTCATTATTTCTATGCAACGCCATTGACATAAGGCTGCTTAAATTAATCGATAAATTATTGGGATGCGGCAGCACCTCTAGACAGGGAAAAGTCCACCCATACTGTAAATGGTACATCGAAGAAAACGCAAAATATTTAATCTGAGCAAAAGTTGTCCAGTACCGTGAAGGACGTTAAGTACACAGAACACAAGTTAAGCACACGCACCGGTAAGAATG